ATTCACACAAAAGTTGTGTATTTTCAACTCTAAATTTCTAATTTAATTAATTATTCTAATTTTATATCTATATCCATAATAGTTTTAATCTAATTTCAAAATGTTTATTTAAATAAAAATTAAGGGTTCCAGTTGAAAATTCAAAGTTGCTACACCCACCGCGTTCGCATGGAGAATAAGAACCCTGCTATTGCATAAGTATATAGATTTTGAAAAACCATTAAAAAAGAATTCCTAAGTTTTTTCGATACGACGTCTAGTTCTCGAGATATTTGACAATCGCCTTTCTGGACAGAGCTCTTTAATAATGTAAATAATATTATTCAAACCGGAAATAAGCCGAAGGGAGTGAGAGGTCTGACTGTAAAATTCATTTGCGATGTTGCCAAATTTACCGGATCTCGGGTTGTCTACAAAATGTATATTTAGCATATACACAACGGATCGCTCGCACTGCCTCTACAGCGGATTTAGTGGAACTAATGCAATATAAAATTCACCAAAAGGGGTGCAAAATGAGGTCCAGACAAAAATCGATTTCTTTGTACCCCCATCATTGTTACATCGAGATGTCACTATATACACGTGAATACAAGGTGAGATCCAAAATCGGATCTCGCCTTGCAAAACGGATCTCATTTTGTATAGCTTATGATACAAACGGATCTCGCCTTGATATGAAGACATATATATATATATATATATATATATATATATATATATATATATATATATATAAATTACTATTTAACTGGGAATAAGCCACAATTAAAGATAAAAATACGTTTCAATTTCCACTTCGGAAATCGTTCTCAAAATACAAACAGTAAATTAAACAAATTTTGTTTTTTGTTACATAGTGAAAAATTCTTCTAATAATTTAATTTTATCTGACTCATTTATATTGACAATTCAGACATACATTATGCATTTTAAAGTAGACGACTTTAAAATGATATTGCCAATATTGTGAGTTGCGCTCCTGGGACGACTTTACTTAAAAGATAGTTCATTCGATTACATGAAATCAACTTTAACTTGTGAATATCCGTCAGAAAAAAATCATAGCATGTAATTCGTCTTTAAAAAGACAAACACATGACATGATGACAGTAAAATTCTCCTGTTGGTGATTCCATAGTAAATTATGAGGGAAAAACCAGGAAAAACACCTCATAATACTATCCCGACATGGTAAGTATTTGATCGTGCATTTAGTTTACCTTCAATAAACACCAAAATTCTGATTTTATATGTTTCGTTATTTAAAAAACATACATGATGTATCCTCTATATGTTACTGACTTACTAATACTGGTATTTTCTTATTAATAACTTCCTCTTTCAATATTGGTAACCAGATCCTACTACATTCTGCCGAGGAATTTGCGACACAATTGGCCTCATTTAGCATAATTAAAGCCGCTTCTTTGATTTTTCTTTTTTTACCATCCGTCTCTTTTAGGACTACATTTGAATTATTCCATTGAACAGTATGTTCATTATCCCATGCGTGTTTACATATTTGAGATCTATCAAATTCTCTATTTTTAATATAAGACTGATGTTCACTTATTCTAACATTTAATGGCCTTGATGTTTCACCTAAATAAAACTGATCGCATTCACAAGGTATTTTATAAATGCAATGCTTTGTCCTTTCTTGTTCATTGTTAGGTTTGGTTTTGGACAAAATAGATCTCAACGTGTTTATTGTTTTGTGAACGATTTGAACTTTCGAATGTGTATACATTCTTTTTCAAGAGCTCTAGTGCAGTCATTGAAGCGAAAAATACGGTCTTACCTCCGAATTTTTTTTACTGTGAACTGATTTGCATGAAATTTTGGAATTAGGCTCATCTTATGCATACCTTCAAAAGTGAAAATGATCTGAACTCCGCCTATTATTTTTAAGCCATTGAGCCATTTTATCGCTAGAAAACATGTCTAATAGTAGGTGGTGAAATTGTAAAGCGTTTTCTAACACAATTACCTCATATTAAAATCATTTTCAACCCCTTGAAAATCTTACAACCCTTGCAAACAACCCCTAAATTGAAAAAATCACAAAAACATACTTTGGTATGACATAAAAAGATGTAAGTATAGAGTAAGTAATATTTTATATTCTCTATAATAATTATCAAATTTTTAACCTCCTTTCAACCCTTGAAAACTACCCTTTGATAAAAAATTTTTAAAGAATTTTTTTGATAAAATGATAAGGATTTAAATATTATTCCACACTCTCGAAAATGATTATCATATTCTTAAGCTTTTCTACCCCCTTAAAACTGCCCCTGAATTAAACAGTAAATACATATATATATATATATATATATATATATATATATATATATATATATATATATATATATATATATATATGCTCATTCCTTTGCAGACGGAAATATACTGGTCATATTATAACGAATAAACGGAGCACGCCCAGCTGATCACCTGGCTTTTTTGTTGGCCCCTTCACTCAAATGTGTTATATATACATATAAGAACGTTGGTATGTATTCATGCCTACGTTTCCAAAATATATGAGCCATATTATGTATATATATATATATATATATATATATATATATATATATATATATATATATATATATATAAGGATCACTCAGACGAGTGGTGGGTTCTTATATCGGTCTCTAGGTGGAGAAATCAAAGACAAAGTTGATAGGCTACTTTATCTATTTTGAAGACGTTTCGCTTTCGAGTTTTGAAAGCATCATCAGTTCATCTAAAAAAGTACAATATGAGAACCACACAATCATGGAAACGATGTTTATTGTTACCTTAAAAAGACATGTAGCAGTCAATGTTATTAACAATAATGTGAATGAAACTAAGTAAATCTACATAATACGCTGATTTTGTATAAACAATTATGTAACTAACAACATATATGAACTTATAAAATTAGCACAGCAAATGACCATTATTGTATCATTCACATTATTGTTAATAACATTGACTGCTACATGTCTTTTTAAGGTAACAATTAACATCGTTTCCATGATTGTGTGGTTCTCATATTGTACTTTTTTAGATGAACTGATGATGCTTTCAAAACTCGAAAGCGAAACGTCTTCAAAATAGATAAAGTAGCCTATCAACTTTGTCTTTTATTTCTCCACCTAGAGACCGATATAAGAACCCACCACTCGTCTGAGTGATCCTTATATATATTGGATTAACGGTCGTACTCCTTTTTCCGATATAATATATATATATATATATATATATATATATATATATATATATATATACACATTACAATAGTTTTGGGTCTCTGTTATACTGCGTAATCTACATACGTAAATACATACTCCAAATATTCCCACTCCGAAATTTTCACTCCATAAGTAGAAGAACATATGAAAAGTTTTTGGACCATAACTCCTTCAATTTCATGCTATCACAATTTATAAAAATCCATTGTAAAGGTAATTAAGAGAGCTACAACATTCTTTATTGCAGTATATAGTAAAAAACCTTTATCTAAAACGGTGAATGGTTAAAGGGCTTAAGACAGGCTGTGATTGCGCTGCCACGCGGTCTTTAAACAATCATATCTCCTTCAATTTTTGTTTGACAGAAAAAACAAAAAAACCAAATTGTTTGTCAGAAAAATACCTAAATTTTTTATCAATACACTTTTATACGCATCAGTCATCATTTTTGACATGAAAAAAGGTGGTTTTTTTAAAAATTTTAAATTTTTTTTAGTCGTGACTTTTTTGAAAATATGTGTCCTGAAGCAGCCCAACTGATGCAATCTATCAAACTCTTCATAATAAAGTTAATTCTAGGCGAAATACGATTAATTTTAATTTTGGTAGAAATGGCATTATGAAACCCATTGATTTAAAAGAAAAAACATTAGATGCTCCTCTTATTTGCAATACAGCTCACTTATTTTACGTGCAAAAGACTTTTAATAGTGCTCATTTTAAAGCTTATTTCAAGCACTACAAAACCCTTTTTTATTAGAATGCCTAAAATGCATCTGCTCGTCGCTAGATGGCATTGGCCACATCGATTAAATTTCAGGAAAAATAAACAACGGCTTTGATCTTTAATATCTAGCTTAATATTGCACTTAGAATACTTCATAACAATACAATACAAGTAGAATACAATTTTGTTTTTTATAAAATTTTCGATAAAACGTATATTTTTGGAGATATTTGCAAAAAACCGATCAAAAACGTGAAAATATTGCGAATTTTCAATTGCCAATAACTTGAAAAGTATTGGATTTTTCGAAAAACTTTATAGATGATTTTTTGCTTAAAATTAGTCCTTCTATCGATATCCGATTATTAAAAAAAAAATTCACCCCCGAGAAGCGGTGGCAACCACCCCCAGGGCGGTTGCGGAGTTCAAATTATTTTCACTTTTGAAGTTAAGGGTAAGATGAACCTTATTCCAAAATTGTTTGCAATTCGGTTCACAGTAAAAAAAATTGGAGCAATAATGCTTCAATAATTGCACTACTACAAGAAAAGTATCAAGATAAAGTGGAAATAAAAATAATGTAAAAATAACTCACCAGATAAATATATACTAGTTAATTAAAGTTGCTAACTTAAATAACTTCATTAAAATTAAGTTCTTACACGTTAAAAAAATTATATTGAGGGGAAAACTGCTAAGACGAAAAAATTAATGGTCAGAAAGATTTGAATCAGAATGAATTATTTTAAAGTTATAAGCAAGAAAAATCGATATTTTTAGTAATTTTTAAATATTTTAATTTTTTTATTAATGTTCCCGACCTATTTGAAAGAGAGGATAAGTCAAATATTATTTCTGAAGTCATCACCTTAACTATTTATGCAAAAATGCTAATGCCACCTCTCACATCAAAATTTAGTTGATTTTTTACAGATCCGCCCTATTATGCTGCTGTGAAATTTGTTTTCTGTTTTGATTATGGTTCAATTGATTTCATAATAAAAACTGTTTGCTTAATATTTCAGATGGGTGACTGGACTTAGCTTAATGATAACATTTTTGTGTATCGAAATGCTTGCCTTTGTGCTTGGCCTAACAATGTTTGACAGCAATTCTGCATTATTGTGTATCCTTTGCATATTTTTTAGTATATTTTAATATTTTGTATATATTGTAGTATATTTTGGATTAAAAATTCCTTTTTCATAAACATGTATGTCACTCAAATAGAATTAACTTGTATGATACCTATGCCTTGAAAAGCAATTCCATTTTCTTCCAGTATATATGTTTTGGTATATGAATAAAATAATGGTTTCTTAAAATTAATTCTTATGTCATTCTTACTTATATAAAGATAATAACAAAATGAATTATTTTACTTACTGGTCCTAGTTTCAAATTTTACTGAAATACAATAATTTGTATAATTATCACATTAACTGAAATACTGGAATGGCAATATCGAAGCAATAACACAAGTTATTATCCAATATTGGAGAAATATCCTAATGTAGATCTTTATTATGCACCTGAACTATTATGCACCTTTAATCCAACATCAATCCAAGTCAGTGTTTAAAACCTAAACAAACATTGTGTGTTGTCTGCAAAAATTGATAAAAAAAATTTTGCAAAAAATTCTTTATTGTTATTACTATCCAATTTCGTCGTCATACGTTCTTGTTTGAAATAATTATATTTCAATAACTTATATATTATTAAATATTTAAATAATTATTATTAATTATTTTTTATAATTAAAGTATTTAAATAATTATCGTTTTTAGGCCTTTAGTCCATGAAAACTATTAATTTTAAACTAAAATAAGTCACAAACGAATGAGAGAATTTTTTGAGATTAGTGTCTCGAAGTCATGAAATATGAGTTTCAGCTTTCCTGCCACAGAGTTTGCAGCTTGTCTCGAGATTCACTTAGTCATTCATTAAGTCTAATCACAAGATTTAGATTTTGGACTTCCTACGACTGCCATTAAATTTGCCATTTGCTAAGTTCACCAGGTAACCCAATAGCCGAAGACACGACGTCTGTCGTTACTGAGTCTAGCTATCAGTCCATCCATGATTAAATTTCACAAGGCAGAAGATAAAACAGTGCTGGAATCATGTCCTTGAGTAACGTTCAGCTTGCAGTCTGTTTACCTGCACCTTGTTTAGTCTATTCCTTTCAGCTGAATGGTCGTTGTAATTGCTTCATAGAAGTTATTATCCAATTCTCCATATTGAGAACATTATCCAGCATCAACTCGGTAGGTTTCCAGTACCTATTGCACCTTCCGTAAGAGAATGGTTTCCTTAGAAAATCCTGTTCTATTCTTATTTTAGCTGATGTATGGGACTTTCAACCTATACACCATCCTTAATGTGGGTATCGACTAGTTTTTCCAGTCTTCAGTACAAATGACATCATTGAGTACTTATCGGTTTCCGACAGGTTCTTGCTATCCTGTTTTACCAGTTTTAACCATGTAAGCCTCGATGCTCTTGGTATGTACCCTAGTGCTAAGCTAACCTCTAGTATCATACATAATTTTTTGTAAAGAAGGTCATGTACCTTACGTAAGAATATTGGATAAATCCCCTCTGGACATTGCAATGTATATAGCTCAAATGAGTTTATTGTCCATTTAATATTTTCTTCAGATCTATCACTTATTTTACCACACGCCTTATTTGTCATGACAACCTCTTAAAATTGTTTGGCATCCACGTCTAGGCCTACTATGTCTTACCTTCCGTCTAACCCTCAATAAATAGTATTCTAGATTGGCTTATCATTCGTTTAACCTTGCCTAAACACTATTCCAGGTCGGCTTGATAATGCTTTCTCGACCCTTTTTTGACAGTTATTTCTCATTGAGAGGCTCATTAGCTTTGTTTGAAATAACAGATGTGTTGACGTTCACCAAAAGATATGCCACTTTTTAATAGATCTAGCCACATAGAATGACGTTTGTTAAAGGTGTTAAGAAAACGTGTTAATTTAATGATATTTTATATGTAGTTATCATAACTGTCAAATAAACTAAAACTATAGAGGTGAAGTCATATAAAACATTTTGAATTTACAATTAAAAAAAAATAAGGATCATTCATCGAGATAAAAAAATGTCCCATCTACTAAGTTGGTTTAGTTGTTTTTAAATATTAGCTTGAGCAAATGTCGTGACACGAGATTTTTATATATATAAAGATAGATATACACTTCTAATTTAACTGAGCCGTCACCGTGTTTCGGAGGGCACTTAAAGCTATCATCGGTCCCGGCTACGTAAGTGGTTAGCAGCGCTTGTTCGAACTGAAAACTCTATCACTAGACCTTACGAAACCGTTAAAGCTTACATGAACTTTACTTAGAGATCTAATAAAAAAACGCCTTAAAAAATATCAAACTAGCTATAAACTAAGACGTACATATAATTGCAGATGTGTTAAAGTAATTCATAATAATTAAATACTATAAATTGCAATTTATTAAAAAGTATACAGTACCTACTAGTATCGGTACAAGTATAGTTAGTATATTGACGTTTTTTATAATTTACATCAGGGGTGTCCAACTTGCAATGCCTCAAGGGCCAAAACTAAAACCTTGCATGTTGTCGCGGGCCATATAATAATTTTGTTACAAGTAATAACAAAATAAAGTGAGGTATAAAAATAATTAAAACAAAAAAGAGTTATTTCTTTTATAGCTCAACAACTATATTTTTTTATAAACGGAAAATTTATTGATAACACTTTTCAATAATCAAGACAAACATTGCAAAAGCAACGAAAAAGATGTATCCAATTAGTGTGAGGACTGTGGTCGATCGGCTTCATCCACCAATGAAGAAATGTCCACCTCCAGTTAATTTGTAGATACTCTCATAAGATGACTTAAGGGAGAATCGGTAAGGTTGCTTCTGTTTTTATTTTTTATGTATTTCATGGAGGAAAAGGCACTTTCACATGTATAAGTGCTTCCAAACATTGACGTCATTTTCAGTCCAAAATCTCGCAGGTTTGGGAATTTCTCCTTTGACAATAATTTGAAAAATTCAGGTCTCTTTTCTTGTCTGGTGATTAGGAATATGTCTGCTTGAAGATCACATAACTCAAGCTGTAAGTTGGGTGGTTGATCATCAATGGTTGCTCCAAGAGGGTTATTATAAAGTAGTACACTACTTTTGAGACTTTCAATTTCTTCAAATCTTGTATTGAATTCATCAATAACTTGTTCAATTTGTGAAATGCAGGATGAAAACTCAATATTTTCCTCACCGTTGAATTCTTCTGCTATTTGCAGACAGCTAGGGAAGTGTGTCAGGTTGTTATTTTCCAAAGCACGTTTAAACACGTTCAGCTTATTCCGGAACCCGTTTATCATTCCGATCAAATCTGAAACCGTCTGGTTTCTTCCTTGAAGACTCAAGTTTAACATGTTAAGATGATTAGTCAGATCTGTTATAAAAGCTAACTGTCTTAAGAATTCTAGATCCTTAAATTTCTCTTCCAGTTCAGTTGTGTCAGATGAAACGTATTTGTTGAGGAATGCAGGGATTTCCTTTCTTATGGCAAAAAATCGTTCCATGCACTTTCCTGCACTCAGCCACCTTACATGGTTGTACATTAGCAAGTCTCCATATTCAGCCTCTGTTTCCACTAAAAACTGATTAAGTTGAGTGTGTAAAAGAGATCGATTTCCACCTCTAATCATATTTATAATCTTAATCACGGTTTGGAAAACTTGATCTTCCTTGACTGATTTTTCACATAAAGCTCCCTGGTGTATAATACAATGAATTGTTGGGCAAGTGACACCATTCTCTCGAAGCAGACCCACTAATCCAATTTTTTTACGTGTCATTGATGGGGCCCCGTCTGTTGCTATGGCTGAACATTTATCAAAGCCTCCAATTCTGTCAACTGTTTTCTTTACAGCCTCATAGATGTCTTTTCCTTTCGTTGTTCCATAAAGAGGACAAATATCAAATAACTCCTCTTTACTGGTAAAATTATCAAAAGTAGTGCGCACAAATATTAACAGCTGACTAACATCGGTTTGATCAGTGCTTTCATCCAAACAAAGTGAGAAATATGAACTTTTCTTAACCAGGCTAAGCATAGATTTTTCTACTTGCTCACCCATAGCAACAATCCTTCTTTGTATGGTTTGATGTGAAAGTGGCACTGATTCAAATTTCTCCGCCATTTTAGAATCACCGAAAGCTTTGGCCATTTCAACAGCACATTTTTTTATCAAATTGCCATCAGTGAAAGATTTTCTTGCCTTTGCCAGCTCAAGCGACACGGCATAAGATGCATGCAAAGAATGCGTTTGAGAGTGTAATATTTTACTGAACATACCAGTTTGCTGTTTAAGCTTTTTCTTCAAATCTGCAACTAGCGCACGCCGACTTTATTTGTGTACGTAGCATACTTATTTTCATGCACTGTTGTGTAATGTCTTCTCACATTATATTCTTTAGGCACTGAAACGACATTCATGCACACTAAGCACTGCAACTTTCCATTATTGTTAACAATCAAGTAATCACTCTCCCAACTTTCTTTATAAATTCTGTTCTCACTATCAATTTTCCGTTTTATTGGTTTTACGCTCATTATTGTATAAGAGGAAGCAGGACAAATAATTAATCAAGTTCACTGTTAGTAGCACACTGGCACGTAGCAGAGAACTACGAACACTGCGTTCGTAGTTCTCTGACGATAGCGGCTGCCGACGGATGGTAAGCAGTGGGAGGTGCATGATACTATAATATAAAGATATGATCGCAAAGTGTTTCAAATTCGTTCGATTCTGCGCATGACGTCAAGGGGTGACGATAAATGGCGCCAATTTAAAACAACGGATAACATGCAGACTGGAATCTTACGGATTATTTATGTTAAATTTCTTTTTACGAGACGTAGTGATAAAATAATGGATGTAAACTTTTGTGAATTATGGATTTATTAAAGATAAACTATTTATAGGCTAATGTGAACTTTAAATAGTGGCGTTTTTATTAAAATTATTATGTCACACCAACTATGACATGAATAAAACCTTATTAACACTAAATTTTAACATTTTTTCTTATTAAAAAGATTTTTCGG